CTTTGTTAAATATGGTCAGTTTATGAATAAATTGCATGAATAGGTTAACAACATAAAGTTTTTATATATTTCTCTGAAAGGTTGTGATCAAACCATCTTCTTACCATGAACCTGCAGAGTGATGATGACTGTAGGTCTTTGTTGGCCATTGGCCTCTGAGAGGAAACTGAAATCTCCAGAATCTTGAAGGGTCAGTTCTCTCACTGTTAAACTAAAGCTCACATCATTGAACTCCACTCTGCCCTGAAATTGATTGGTTGCAATAACACCATGACCTTGAAGTGCAACTACTGAGTTTCCATATCTCCATCTTGCCCATTTGACTCCTTCAGTTGGTAAATTTGATGAAAGCTCCACTGAGTCTCCAACTTTTCTATCAATGACTTGTTTTCCTCCTGAAGCCTCCACATCTGAAACACATTATAAACAACAGTGTGTAATTATTATGGAGAATCATTATTTATTTTAATAAACCTGAAAATATAATAACTGGAATACAAACATTTTTTAAGGATATTAGTTGTTGTCTGCAAACTTTAATTAGTAACAATAGTTATAATTATTCAGACAGAAAACATCTGATCACTCAGCTTGTAGAATATCTATAATGTACATAAAATGCTTGAAGACAAATGAAGATATAAGATCTAGGTTAGAGTTTCTAGGCCGTCACATTACACAGACTGCCTTCAGGTTGAGTTCATCACCTTTGGTCAGAGTTCATTTCTGCTCTAAGATCGTCCAAAGAACAACCATCAGGTTTTATAACCTGATCTGTCTCCATTTACCATCACTGACAGTGTCAACATATCAGAGTATTATACTATAAATACTAATCATTTATAGTATAACCACATGTTTTAGGTGGAATTTTAAATGAGGAAGCGACATAAAGAAAGAATAATCCTGGCAAACTTTTGTTATTTTATGCAAAAATTTTATATTTGGTTAAAATTATAAAATATTAATCTTTGTTGTGAACTTGCATGTTTTTGAAAACCATTACCTGCATTTTATTCATACCTAAATCAGATCAAATCTATTATAATTTCATGTTAGCAGAAATCTAATAATGTTTAACAAAGATCCCTGATGCAATAGAATCCACTAATTCTAGAACCTATATGTATGTAACGTACCATAAAGGCAGAGGCCTAGAAGGAGATGAAGGAGCCCCTCAGACAGCAGAGGGAACCACTGAGAGCCTCTGTGAGAGAAGATTATCTTCATCCTCTGCTGCTCCTCAGACTAGACCTGAGACACAGAGAAGGAAGATGTTCTGAGCTGCTCTTTAGTTTTATAAAAAAAAAAGTCACAGCCTGCAACAACATGCAGATTAGATTAATAGATAAACCTGGGATTATTGTTTGATTTTTTTTTTAAAGCACCACAATTAAAAACTTATGAGCCAGTGAGTTTTTATATAACTGAGGACAAATGGTAAATGGCCTTTAATTATATTGTGCTTTTTCAAGTCATAGGACTTGATCAAAGCACTTTATACTACATCCAGTCATTCACCAATTCACACTCACACTGATAGTAACAAACTACATTGTAACCACAGCTGCCCTGGGCTCACTGACAGAAGCAAACCTGCCATGAACCTCTGCCAACGGGCCCTCTGACCACCATCAGTAGGGAATGCAGGTGAAGTGTCCTGCCCAAGGACACAATTACACTGAAAGCTGGGGCCAGGGCTTGAACCGACAACCCTTCGGTTGCAGGGCAAACGTCTTCATTAAACGCCACTGTTGCCCCAGAATTTAATTGTTTGACAAACAGTCAAATTTTCAATACTCAACCTTTGGATCTGATTTAACCACACATTATTTTTACTCTGAAAATTTCTTTCTTTGTTGTTTTTATTAAGAAAAACTAACATCTGTCACATTTCTCACCAACCCTGACCTCAAATTCTAACTTTTGCTTTAAAACTCGTAGCTACAGGAAAAGGTTCATCTGTATTTTCGATGGTGTCGCATATAAATTTCACACGTAAATCCTAAAACATCATCTACTGATAGCAGACGCTATAACTACCCTTGGTTTTAAAATTGGAAAATGGATCCCAGTTATGCTTGATGTAATGTTATTCCATGTTCCCACTGCTGAAGTAAATTAAACCAGTTCTACATCACAGTCGTTACCTTGGATGCTTTTTCGCGTAAACATGATTTTCAAAAAAGCAGTGCTAGTAACGATCAGCAGCATCTAAATGTCAGTTAAAATATCTTAGATCTAAATCCTATTTGCTAGTTGCTGGTTCAAAATCTTGGCTAGCTGTGCTCCTTGCTGTAGCTCTTCCATTCCTTTTAAAATAAGTTTTGAATCATTTCTGGATAAACAGTGGAAATTGTATCTAACTTTTAACTGAAACAAATACATTTAAAAGCGGTCATTTTCTGGAGACACCCTGCAGCTCTGTTTCCTGTTCTCACATCAAAAGAAGGTGTTAAAACCACAGTCACGTACAAATAGGCCACTGTTCTTTAAAAGCTGCACAGCTCTGAAATATTCTGAGAAAATTAGTCTAGCTTAATTGATAAGAAATAAGTTTACTTTTATTATATATCTATTAGAGAAGCACAATACATTTTCTTTTGGTTACAAGACAAATTTAGACAGGAAGAGTTTATCAGGTATTTACATTAAATTGGAGAGAAATCCTCATTTTTTATTCAGCAAACCCATATAAGCACCATACTTTTCCAATATATTCTTGACAACTCTCTTCTCATTTTGCCTCTCTTATAATTGAAATTATCAGAAAATAAACTGACCTGAGCTTCAGAGCACAGTATTTAAAAATCCTATTTTTTTAATATAGCATATATACATTAGATAGAAAGGGCAGGTATGTGAGAGCTTAAAACTATATTTTTAATGAATCCTGGTTTTCAGTTGAGAGTTTAAAATGAGTAAAGGAGAGGACAGCAGAGAATGCTGCAGAAACATGCACCCTCGCTGGTTATAAACACATTATGCCATTTATCCTTTTGCATGTATAGACTTATAAAACTATTGCTTCTGACTGTCACCTCATAAATGAAGTACATTTAAAATAATGTAGGTCAAAACTATAGTGCAAATGTACAGGAAACAGAGACAAAACCTAAAGCCAAAAACAGACACTGCTCAAGTAAAATGCTGCAAACACAACAAATAGACTGGAGCAAAATGCAGATACCATGACAACAGCAAGTAAAACAAACAAATCTATAAACTCACCAGAATACCAGAGGGAATCAACCTCCAAGTCAAATGTGATTAGCAGATACCTTTAGCATTTTATATTTACTCCTGTCTATTCTACGTGGCCACAGCATTTTTTACATTGCTTATGAAAACCTGGGAGCAAAATGAGTGCAGCTAATACAGTTTTTGATTTTTTTCTTCTTTTCTTTACATTATGAAACAAAGCTTAATTCATAACCCGTATGACTTTGTAACTTACAGTTTAAAAAAATAGAAATGATCAAGGAAAACCTACTTCTACTACTATTATCTCATAAAATGAAACCTTTTCAACATTGTAGAGTTCGTTAGATGTAGGAATAACCAAGGAAGTCAACATGTATTGTTAACAGGGATGACTCTGAATAACAGCATTAGCAACTGTGAGAAATAATATACTGCGCAAAAAAAAAAAAAGATAACACTTAAATAAAACAGCCTAGATCTGGATGAATGAAATATTCTGAATAACTTGTTCTGTACAAGTCAAATTTGCTGTCAACAAAATTACACAGAAATCATCAATGGAAATCAAATTTACTAACCAATGGGGCCCTGGATTTAGAGTCACACACACAATTAAAGTGAATAAATGAGTATAAAGGCTCAGTATGGTGTGTGGCCTCCATGTGCCTGAATTACCTCCCTACAATGCCTGAGCAAGCTCCTGATAAAGTGGTTGGTGGTTTCCTGAGGAATCTCCTCCCAGTAATGGAGTAATGCATCCTCCAACTCCTGGAGACTCTGTGGTGCAAAGTGACGGTGGATGGATTGAGACATGATGACCCACATGTGGGACATCTGTTGGGATCCTGAGGCTTGCCCACCAGAGGGCACCGAGGATCCCTTCCTGGGAATTTTTGTTACTGTTGGGATCTGGGGTTCTGTCTACCTTTCTCCACCAGAGGGCGTACTGGATCTCCTGAGGCTGGAGCTGACTTCACCACCTGTTCTTCATCTGCTCATCAGGAGACCAGTACTTAAGAGGGCTGAGGACCTCACTCCGGTGCCAGAGTGTTTGTTAATCACGGAAGAAAACTGACTGAACCCTGGAACTCTGGAGGAGTCCCCCTTGCTGAAATCTGCCTGCCGCATCTCAGGAGCTCTGGAGGAGCTCATCCCCTGAAACCTGCCAACCTGCTCTTGACTGAACCCTGGGAACTCTGGAAGAGTAGCCCTTGCTGAAATCTGCCTGCCGCATCTCAGGAGCTCTGGAGGAGCTCGTCGTCTGGAACTTGCCTGCCTGTTCTCAAGGAAAGAAATTAGAGCTACTCAATAACTGATTCTCTACTAGTCAAAAGCCTAGCCCTGCTGCTGCCTAGCCCTCTGCTCATCCCTCAGCCTCTGGACTCTTTGGGTTTCCTTTTTCCTCCGATCAGCCAGAACCTCAGATCAGAGAATCCTGTGTGACCAGCCCGGACTCATTTAGTTTTCAGTATAATAACCTGGATTGTGTTCCTTTATAATAAACTGTTGAACTTTAACTCCTGTCTCTGTGGTGTTCTGCGTTTGGGTTTAGCTCCAATAACCCAACATGACAGAACACTCTGGCCCACAACCAAACCCAGCAGATCACCTCCGGAAAATTATTGTGGAACAAGCTTCTCAGATCCATGAACAAGAACAAACCCTCCTTGAGTTAAATACACATTTGGGACTTAAAGATCGAACTTTTCAGGAATTAGCAGGCTACGTGAGAAACGCTAACGCGGCGCCGGCTCAACTTCCAGTTCCGGAGCCTTTCTCGTCACTTCCGGAATTCCGTCCGTCACTCCGGAGCCAGTTCCGCTTCTAAGGTCAGAATCTGTTTAGTCACTTCCTGATTTCCGTCCCTCACAGTTTTCTGGTTTATCTAGTGAGTGTAAAAGTTTTCTGTGGCAATGCAAATTGTTTTTTGAACTTTTCCCAGTTTCCCTGACGACGATAGAAAAATAGTTTTTATTCTCTCACAATTATCCGGTCAAGCCCGCGAATGGAAAGAGACCCATTTTTCTCCTGAATCCAGTATTACATGTACTCTAGAACAGTTTTTAAATGAATTCACTCTAAATTTTTCCGTTAAATCTGCTGAGTCTCATGGTCTGTCAAATTTCACACAAGGAAATAGAACCGTAGAGGAGTTTTCAATAGACTTCTGGGTCAGAGCCGCTGCTTCCTGCTGGACTGATGCTAT